GGGGTGGGTCCGTGAATCGTCCGCCACTGGCGAGCGGTTATTTCATTGTGACCATTCCAGGTTCGATGGACTCAAAGGTCCCGCAGCAGCCCGTCGAGCAGCTTTAGAAGAATCCAGAAAATGGCACCAACTCGCCTTTGATGTTGACTGTGAGCTGCAATGGATAGCTGAGAAGGTGAATCTATCGTTTCAATTGTTGTTGTGAGAATTTTCCGAAGAGCAGAAAGTGGACGTGGCTAAGAGCGGAGCTCTCCCAAGTCCATCTTTTTCCGCTCTGCGCTTACTAAATGTAAAGTGTCAAGAGCGACCGCATTGTCACACTCAAAATTTCAGAAACCGATCGCATCATCCGAAGACACTGGTAGAAATCTTACTGAAGCACTGAATATGGTGAAGAAACAAGATCAACTGGAAGCTGAAGTCCATCAGCATTCCGGTCATATCGAGGGTACAATCAACCAAGGAGAAGCGCTAATTCGTGGTGGACACTCGGCTGCAAAGCAAATCAAAGACAAGTGCGAGCAGGTGGGGTTATTCGCGTAGCTTCACTTATTTTTACAATTATTATCGTTCCACTGGAGCACGTTTCAGACGGATAATAATCATACAGAGGCTGAAAAGGTGAAATAGATAGGGTGTTGTGCTTTTATATGTATAGAGTGTTTTGATGAGTGGTGCCAAGTGATGTTACATTTGAGTTTTAGTTTTGGGAGTGTTGTTGTGCTTATAAAGTCCCCCAAAAGATGTGTAAACTTTCGGTTTTAGCTCGCTGGTGCATGGGCTCATCTGGCTCATCTGGTAAGAAGACGTCGCCAAGTTGTTGATTGGGGAGTGAAGGAGCAGCAGTATATGTTTGATGCAGCGGAGGTAATTTTGGAATTTTTGCTATCTTTGGAGAAAGGAAAGTTAGGTACTTCTAGGTTGAATCATGGATGAATGAAAAGCGTGCAGCGCTAGAATCTGATAACTATGGCCAAGATGAAGATGCAGCACAGAAACTTCTGGCAAAACATCGCGCTTTGCAAAAGGACATGCAGACATATCGACAGTGAGTTGATCAAACTTTACCATTCATGGTAGCTAGTCAAATTTTTATTAAGTCCTGGACTGGAATGTTAACGCACAATTTTGAGATATGACGTACTGATGAGCTTTTTTTT